AACTTGCTTTGCTCTTAGGTTACATCTTTTCCTGTCGCACCTTGGAACCGCCCGCAAGTGCTATGGCAATGGACAGCTTCCTTGCCAGATTCGACTGCAAAATGATCGTTTGACGAGCTAAAGAACCAGGCCTCTTCATTCCACCACTCAGAGCTCTCGATGGCCTTGGAAATGTCATCATTTCCATCAACGTGAACAAATTCATCAGCCTGTGCCCGCACCGCACGGTCCCACCAGTTCCTTTTCTGCGGCAGAATTCAGAATCCACTCGCCACTCGGATGGTAAGTTTTTCCCTCTCCATTCCTGTTACTAATTAAAGACACCAAAGACACCTAATTAAAGGTTCCTGGCATCTGATGAGAAAACCACACCAAATCCCAGCGCACAATCCCAAAACACTAGTACAAACAAAATTCAGAACATGTCTGAATATTAAAAACTATCACTTTGCCTAGCGCACAGCTCTGCGATGCGACTTTCAAGAGGATGATACGACTTAAGCCTACTGCTTGTAGCGGTACAGCCTTTCATTCCATTTCATTGATCCAAAACGAAGAATTATATAGTCAGCTGCATGGTAGACTCGTGTAGACCACCAACGACTGGCGCGACTTTGAGGCCCGACGACTTGCGCTTCACCTCCATTCCAGTGTCTCGAAGCCTCAGAACCAAACACTTCATTTCATTTTTTCTGATTCATACGGTTACAACTCCCCCAACAGAATGCGCTTTGAAGGAGTGTCTTTGTCGCATATCCCCCGAGTGCTGGGCAAGCGGTCTACCTCGCTTGAGACTTCATTGAGTGGTACTGACCTCAATGATTCTTGGACTGTTCAATGCAATCTCGCAAGGCGTCAGGCTTCAAACACAAATGCCCGTACTATCCTTTTTAAACTTAGTATCTGCTACTGAGCTGTAACTCCCGTGAGCACACACACAAATCCGTATTCAAATGATCAACCCTTTCGGCACGGGCTTCAACTTTCACATGCTTTTTGTTTTTTGGCCAACTGAATTGTAGTATAGTTCATTCTTACTTACATGTCAAAACACGTTTAGTTTAGTACAGCTGGAAAACTTCAGATGGAAACTAATCTAGCCAAAAGGGACGCAACATGAGTTGTGTTTTTCCTAATTTAATGTACCTAAGGTGTTATTTGTTTTGTTGGCGCCTACGCCCCTCATTTCATGTCCGTCTGAATGCGAGGTACTATACGGTCTGATGTTGACACGCACCCCAAACCCACAATTAGAAAGACTCAACAAGCTTCGTGCCAGGCAGGTACGTTTTCAGAATTAGGCTGCCCCGCTTTAACATGCAAAAAAGCCTCAAATGCTCCTGCTTTGCACTGCGTCGAAGGACTGAAACAACCGCAGGTAGCTTCTTGTTCCTAGTAGTAAGGTCAGGAGGGAGTCCTTGCTCCTAGTAGCGATGCCAGGAGCCACTAATAGCATCCTTGTTCCTAGTAGAAATGCCTTCTTGTTACTAGTAGCGATGCCCTTTGTTACTAGTAGCTTCTTGTTGCTATTTGCTCATATGCCCTTGCAAGAATGGGGGCTGCAAAAGGGCTTTGTTATTTTCTCAAAATGAACATCATGATGCCGAATCGAATCCACACATGTTTCAAAACCAAAAGAATGCCAACACATTTTCCTGGAAGTCTGACCGCAAAACCGAGCATGGCGCGTGTCCAACAATTCTTGGTCAGCATTTTTCAGTCTATGAATCAAACTTGGCTCAAGCAAGATGGGTGTATTCAAACCTTGGTTGGGTGTCTAAGCTTTCCGGATAAAGGACCACTCCTCGACGGTGACGTTCTCGTACAATGCATTGTGCTGCAAACAAACACCCAGCCTTAAACTAAGTTTGCTGATTTAGCAAAGACAACTTACGTAAAGCAAATCTACAACGCTTTTGAACAAAGAATGGGCCCGCTGTTCAGTTTTGGGTGCCCGGCTGCCGTCGGACTCCAAGAGAGTCCCCTCGTACAGACACACCATGGACTACCACATCACCCGTGGTGGGCGGGTAGAGGCCTCAATAGTATCTGCCACTGAAGTGTGCAGTCTTGGCACAAGCCCCAGCCCCCATCACAATTTGATCTTGCATCATCACGGATGAAATGCTGATCATTGCAGCCTGTCATGATGGACATTGTGGTACTCTTCCCTGCACCATTGTGGCCTGGGCAATAATCGCATGACGCTTGTGAGCTGCCAGCCAACAGAAACTCAAAAAAAACAAGGTCCTAGTGCGAAGCAATAGGAAGGATTGGTGTGGTAACACGCAACAATAACATGCGCACTGTGCAGTTGCCCGTGAATGACAATGGCATGCTACTGAAGCCACGACAAAGCACTTATCATTCACCAAGAGCAAACTGCCACTGGGAAGCTGGCCGAGTAGACCCATGATGGAGCCTTGATGCATGTCCAAAGTGATCCCTTTCAGAGCCTGGCAAGCAGCCGTTCAATTCATACACGCCTCAATAATCCGCAAATCTGAGGACGGATCGGGACCAGGCTGCAAACGAAGCAACCCAAAGTTGGCCCTATAAAATCAAAGCCCGGGCCGATTCCATGACCTTGTAGCCTTGTACCGACCAACCAAAAGCATCCCCCACACTACACAACACCAGATGCGCAAACGCGCGAAGCACAATGCTGCATCTTGTTGCCATGTGTCGCCATGTGCTGTCGCTTGTTGGCTGTACCTTCTGACTTCTGTGTGCTTGCTGGGCCTACACTTCAGAATTCCTCAGTCCTAAGTACCGGTGAAAAGCGTGCGAAAACTCGCTTGCCCTTGAAGGATCTTGAAGGCCCACAGGTGTCCCATCATTTTGCTTCCAAATTCGATTGCTTGCTGAGGACTGAGGGCTGCTGTTCTTCCATGGTTTTGTCATTGACGCCTGCACAAAGCAAGGATAAAGAAAATCAGTCCCAACAGCAGCACTTTTTACAGAATCAAATTCTCTGGATGTTATAGTAGTTTTATACCTTCCTGACACATTGCAAAATAGTCACGCACCCCCACTCAGAGCTTCGAACAAAGTCCGTACACCATACATGGAAATTCTCTTCCAAAGACTCATGCCTCGACGGTTTCTGCTCTTCAATTCCAAACGAAGGTGGAAGAAATATGACAAATTTCCTTGCACTAGCCACTGATCAATGGAACCGTATCATAGAAAATTGATGAACATGGGGATAGTCTGGTGTTCGATGTCGATTTGGTGGTGGCGTCTGGCACACGGTTTTCAAGGGTTGATGGTGTTGGTGATGCTTGACTCAGCCTTGGCATGGTTAGCATTACCGCTTTGCAGCATTACACAATTGTTTGTTACCCGCAAATCTATCAGGACAAAGGAACAATGCGTCTGAATTCTGTCGCCATATTTGGATAGTCGCGGTAGTGCTGATAATGCTGGCGCAGCTGGCTGCTGCACTAGTGTAAAGAAAACAGAACGGAATCCATTCACGATCCTTCCGCATCACAACATCTTGCTTCCACTCTATTCCATTTCTTCATCAATTGAAAAAAAAGGATTGGAAAGGATACTACACTAAACAGCACACACACACACACCGCATCAAATTTTGTTTCCCCTCCAATTTGTGATGGTGGTGTTGGGTGGGGATGGCGCAAAGGAAAATAAAGGAAAAGGGAAGAAACGGAATCGAAAAGGGCCGTTTGAGGTTACAATACCTTTCGACAAGTTGCCTCCCATGTTTTTTTGGCTTTGCGCTACATTTCGATTGTTGGATTAGAATGGCAGTTGAGGGAAAATTGGGGTAACATATCTAACACAATATGATGGGCAATCCTCAATCAACGGCTGTCACAAAACGAGCCGACACACTTTGCAAACAGGTCTCTTCCATCTCTCCCACCTGCTTTCCACTAGAAAAGGTCTTTGTCAGGTCGCGGATCTGCACTGACGTTCTGGAAGCCACCTTCGCTGCTATTTCTTGAGGTCTTTGTAATCGTCGAAAACTCACAGAGACTGAGATATGATCAACGGATGTATATTGTATTGTATTGTAAATGGATCAGATCTGCAATGGCCAACATCTCCTCTCCCCCTCTCCACAAGACTGCTACAGTTCTCACAACACATCCCAAACATCGGAATTTGTCGCTGACTTACGAGCAACAACTGTTCTCACAGTATTTCTAGACGGTGACTATGTATGTCTAATATGTATGTCTAAATGTCACTCGGTGACGCTATCATAGAAATATAGGACCGGATAGCCCCACATCTTAACAAGATCACCAGACACAGGAGCGGACAATTGGTGGTTGGTGGTTGGTGGTGGTTGGTTGGTGGTTGGTGGTTGGAGGACGGGCGGCGGGAAGAGGAGGGGGAAGACCGAGCGGAGACACACAGCAACCCTAGGGCGTACATCCAGGTGTTGCAGCGCGTAAATCCAACCCCTTGGAGAGCACCAAGTACCGCGGCTGCCACACAAATCACAGCGACACCAGCGCGTACATCCAACCCCTTGGAGAGCACCAAGTACCGCGGCTGCCGGCAAAGACCCAGGGACGCCAGGGCGTACATCTGACCCCTGGCAAAGCACCAAGTCCCGCGCCTGCCACGCAAAAGCCTGGTGGTGGTTGGTTGGTGGTTGGTGGTTGGTGGTTGGAGGACGGGCTGGTGGTTGGCGGTTGGTGGTTGGTGGTGGTTGGTTGGTGGTTGGTGGTTGGTTGGTGGTTGGTGGTTGGAGGACGGGCGGCGGGAGGAGGAGGAAGACCGAGCGGATACAGCACTAAAAACAAAAAAACACACATCAATGTGGGGAAAAACAATGCCAAGAGTAAGACCTCAGAAGTAGGCTCTTCCCAACATTCAAGATCACGGTTTCCAGACCTGGCTCAGGCTCAGTTCTAGAATTCTGGAGCTATGCTACTTTGTCTCAATGCTGCGCGCGATGCACATTAAACTAATCATGGCAGGAGCGCTGCTCATGAGTTGTGCCAGACACTCCGAAAGATTCAAACCCCTGAACCAGGCAAAACGGGAAACGAAGGCAGAATGAACTGGAAACATTTGGCACTGAGTAAGGGGGCACAAAACAATACTGAATTCCGGCCATGCCCAACAAATCAAATGGTGAGGTCAGGTAAAATGTGTTTTCTTGTATCTGTCTGAGCTGTCCTTGGGCATTTCCTCTGGGCCTTCCCCCATGCACCTTCTCTGGCCACCAGTATGACGGCAACAACGGAAAATACCACGGTTGTGGCCTCAGCAAATCTGCGGGGTCCGCTTACATCAAATCATATCAAATCTAATCCATGTGTGAGGGGTTACCGGTACAATAAACAACTCAGTGACGTTCGTATTGGCATTCAAAGTCGATCTTGTGATTCCAAACTCCGAAGAAACACGACATCAAAGCTCTAACATACTAACAGGGGACTTACGGATGAAAATTGAGGAATAGAAGTGGGACACGGGGGTGATTGCACATGTAGATGTGTGAAGGACATTTACGCCTGGCAATTTGCGATTTGAATTGGTATTGCGGTTGTGTTTTTCTCTTGTTGTTTGAATGCTGGTTCGTCCGCTGAGATGGCCATGGTTAGTGATCAGGCTTCTACATGAGTCAAATGAGTGCGGGCTGTTTGTGTCATTTATCAACCACGCACAATGGCAGATTCACTGATCACTTGTTTTGGAAAGTTCTTTGCAGTTTCTTTGAACACTCGAGTCCAAGCACATTGTTTTCAATGCGGCGCCGTTTCAGGTTTTTGTTTTCTAGGACCCGTGGTCTTGGACTTTTTTCCCAAAAGCACCTCCGATGCTTGGGTTCAAGTTTAGTCGATAGAGGGGGGGCAAAGCGAGACGAGGCAAGCATTTTGGTGGACGGAAGCTGGGTGTGGATGGGGCTGTGAATGGAAGATGGAGGGGCGCGATACGGGAGGGTGGATGGGCGTGGACGAGGATGGAAGCCATAGGACTTGGACACGATAGGTTGAACTAAGACCGTCAATCAAGCATCAATCTGCCCAATCATGGCATTGGGCTTGTGCATCCTGTGCTCAGCTGACTCGATGTCCGTGAAAAGAAGTTGCGACAGTGTCATGTTCAAAACCTGAAGAAGCCATACATGCCCCAGCCACGATGCGATGCTCGCATGACGATGCGACTCCGAAACTGCCCAGGCAATGTGATGTGTCTCCATGTGCGTCCTCTCTGATTCTATATATGTATATATATAATATTACATATTTAAATCTTACAAAATCAATAAGACCACCTGCTGCTGCTACCTTCATTGAACTATATAGTTGCTGCAATTACAATCTGCTGGGTGACTACCATGACCGGACCGATGGCAAGGATGTTTTTAATTGCCACACCAGCTTCCATCAGTATTGACGTATTGAATATCGAAGTCATAATCATGCATCTACCTTTATGAATTACTCGTTGATAAGCTTGCAAGATTCCCTGAGCCCGGATACACCCTCAGATTCCTCACGCAGCTCGAAAAAAACGCTACAGTTGCATATAGTTGGTGATTAGGTGTGGAACCGGGACAAATACCGGCTGGGGCAAAGGCAAGCCAAGTGTGCCAGGACGGACCTTCTCTACATACCAGGCCAAGACCTGCTGGAGTTCAAACGGCCACATGCAATTTTGTTCTGTTTGACAAGCAAAAGGAAACAACCAACATAGTCTTTCACGTTCCCACCGCAAACTCTTTGTAGTGAGCTTCCAGAGCTTGGGTTTACGCTTGCCAAACATCCAACCCTAACTAGCCGGATTCAAACAACCCAAGCCTGATAGAGAATGGAATCCAGAATCATCATCCCCATCACCTGGCAAATAGATCTGATTGATCTGATGTGTAGATGTTGGCACATTGGTATCTTCTCTATAAAGAAGAGTGCATGTAATACATCTCGGCAATTGTTGCACTTTCCAAGAAGTGGCCACAGGGCACACTGCCCAGACTGTGGTCATCTTTTGGCGCAGCCCCGCTGTTGGTGATTGGTACCCTCAGCATTTGGAACGCCCACACACACACAGTTACATTGCCTGAAGAATCTGGGAGCCAAGCACAACCCAAAGGTTGCTCCACTGCGCTCCAATGTCCATAGTTTCCTCACAAAATTATCTTGACATGTGGCAGGCTCAGTGGAACTTTCACCTGGAATGAAATGCTGTTTGTTGAGCACAACATTCCACCAAAAACAGAATTCTGCAAGCAATTAGATACAGGAGCATATATAGTCCACGTAATGCTTTCGAACAACTTAATGGGGATATGCCCCCCTAGGCCAAGATCGTGTGAATATGCATTGAAACACGGTTGCAGAGTCTAGCAATAGGGGCATAGTCTGTAGTGAAAACCCTCGTGGCTGGGGTCTGGGGCAATCTGCTACATTTTTGATGGAACCTCATTCATTGAATCTTCCAGAACCTCCAACGCAAAACCTGCAGGAACCTTGCACTTGGAAGATCTTGGAAGCACTAGAACTTCCTTCCGGAACCTCCCTGCTTGCCAGCTTGGCAACTTGCCGAACCTCCTGGACCCTGCTCTGGTCCCAGGTCCCAAGGTGGGTGCCCCAGAGGCTATTCTGCGTTTGGAAAGAAACATCTACTGCCTGTTTGCAAGCAACCACTCACAAGTGAGAAAACATGTTTGCACACGCATGCCCGCTGTTCCCACAACGTAGGGAGGCTGCCCATTTGCCAATATACAGCATCCCGACCTTACGCAAAAAGTCAAAACCATGCATCCTGGCACTCAAAATGGCTCATGATCGTTCCGTTTCACAAATTAATTTACACAATGTGCTGATCATGGGGATGTCTTATAGTTTGGTCCAGTACAACAAGGTCCGAACTCCCAGGGCTGTTGGTGACATCAAACAGAACGCATTCTTGGCTTCGAAGGACAGTGTCTCCTGGGCAGTTGTTCAACTATTATTGATTACTAATTTACTGAGCTGCTGTTGGAATCTAGAAGCGCGGCCTCGAATTGGTTGAATAGAGCAGAGGGCCTCAGAAACAAAAGCATCAACTGCCACTTCGGAATGCAGCTTGAGTTCCGCGCATATAGGCCAACCTTGGCGCAACCACAGCACGATATGAAAAAAACACCCTTGGAGTTTGTTGAACATTCTTGAGGGTTTGAAGAGGGTAGAGCGATGATTGGCCTTTGCAATACAATGCCGCTTCTCTGGCCCAAACCAGTAAAGCAACCCTCCAAAAGCTGCAGCCACCTACAACAGCACTTGCACATTTTCTCACTCACTCACGGCCTATCATTCTCTCTCTCTCTCTCAGCCACTGGGCTGTGCAAAAATAGAATACGGGTTTTGTGAAACCCTGAGTAACCCCACATCACAGGAACTGATGTTGTAAAAACTCCTGATATGTTTGTTTGTTCATTCTCTTTCACGTTCTATCTCGCTTTATGTTTAGTGTTACTTTACTTTTTTCTCTCTCTCCACCTGTTTCCTTCCCGTTTGCCTTCGCTCGAGAGAAGAAGGAAGAAATGAACATCGCAAAGGACACTGTCCTTGGTACTGAGGCAGGAGTTACAATTGGAACTTGCCCCTGCCGGAAGCAGGGGGATAACGCACACGCCTACTTTGGCAAGCTAAGTTAGCTGGAGGATGCTGGAGGGCATGTGGAAGGTGAGCCCTGCCCGAATAAAGTGTGTATGTCAGTCCTGATGTATATACCCCCTAGCAGCGAAAGGCTAGTTAGGTGAGTGAGTGGGCGAGTCAGTGAGTGAGTGAGTGAGTGAGTCAATCAGTCAATCAATCAGTCAGTCAGTGAGTTAGTGAATCAGTCACTCGGTCTGTCGGTCAGTCAGTGAGTGAGCGAGTGAGCGAGCGAGTCAGTCAGTCACAGTCAGCCAGCCAGTCAGTACTTACTCATGTTACTCAGTTAGTTAGATGAGGTTTGTAGAGAATGCCCTGCAAAGGTACGTACGTATGGATGCATGGATGGATGGATAGATGGATGGATGGATGGGTGCACGTATCCATGCATTGTTCTTTGATGTTCTTTGTTTCATTTTCGGTTATATGTGTGTCCGTAAATATGCGCATGCAGTGAACCATAATGTCGCATCCAAATTGGTATAATGGGACGGAATAGCAGAAGTGTTTGCAAAATCATTCACACACCCTGATTAGTTTAATGGGAGGGATCAATAATGAGCTTTTCGCCTAGGGTGCTTTTAAATAATTCTGGATTTGTCTACTCTGTTCCTATTGTTGCCCCTAAAATTCCTTGCTTAACTAGAACGACTACCTACCACTACTTCATCCCCCTTGAATGTGGAGCTGGATGTGGATTTACATTTCAGAAACAAGATGGAGCCCATGAACCAGAATGCAAACACGTTCGCAAAACTACATGTGTCCAAATGACAACCTCTTGTAGGACGCTCTTGTGGGACACTCTTGTGGGACACTCTAGTAGGAAACTCTTCTGGGACACTCTTACGGGACACTCTTGTGGGACATTCTTGTGGGACACTCTTACGGGACACTCTTGTGGGACACTTTTGTGGGACACTCGTGTAGGACACTTGTGGGACACTCTTACGGGACACTCTTGTAGCACACTCTTGTAGGACACTCGTGTGGTCACTCTTATGGGACACTCTTGTCGGACACACTTGTGGGACACACTTGTGAGACACTCTTGTAGGACACTCTTGTCGGACACTCTTGTGGGTCACTCTTACAGGGCACTCTTGTGGGACACTCTTGTGGGGCACTCTTGTGGGACACTCTTTGTAGGACACTCTTGTGGGACACTCTAGAAGGACACTCTTGTGGGACGCTCTTGTAGGACACTCTTGTGGGACACTCTTGTAGGACACTCTTGTGGGACACTCTTGTAGGACACTCTTGAAGGAAACTCTTGTGGCACACTCTTGTGGGACACTCTTGTAGGAAACTCTTGTGGGACACTCTTGTAGGACACTCTTGTGACATCCTCGTGAGACACTCTTGCGGGACACTGTTGCGGGACACTCTTGTGGGACACTCCTGTGGGACACTCAT